AGGGGGGGGGGGGGGGGGATAAGGGGAGGCAGCAGCGAGGACACCCCCCCCCCCCGGCCCTCTGGGCGCCGGCGGGCCCCGCCCCTGATTCCCCGAGAAGGCGAGGGGGGACTACGGCTCCCAGCATGCCCTGCGACAAAGCGACCCGCCCCTGCGCGGGAGGCGACCCCGGATTGGCTCTTCTCGGGCCTCGCGGTGTGACGCCGGAGGGGGCGGGGCCAGTGAGCCGCTCGGGCGCGCGTGCGTGGCGCGGAGGCGGAGGGCCGAGATGTCGGCCGTCCTGAGCACGACGCTGCGGGGCCTGAGCAGCGACTCGTACTGCGAGATCGGCGACTACTGGGACCAGCGCTTCAAGGTGGGCGGGCGGGCGGGGGCGCCCTCCGGGGGGACGGACGGACGGGCGGGCCTCTCGGAGGGCCTTCGTCCGGCGCTCCCGGGCGGGACGTGCTGCCGGGCCCCTCGCGCGGGGAAGGCGGGGCCGGGTCGGCGTGAGGGCGCCTGGGGGGCGCCCCTCCCCTCGGGGCTGCGGGGCGCCCCTTGCCTGCCTGCCTGGCCAGGCGTCTCCCTCGGGCGGCCTCGTGCCCTGGCCTTCCTGGGGAATGGCGCCAGGCGGGAGCGCCAGGAGACGTCTCGGGGCCCTCACCCGTTTGGCTTCTGCGGGACTGAAAGACGGAGGCCGGCAAAGGGTCACCCCCCCCCCCCCCCCCCCCCCCCCTCGCCATGGCCGGCGTTTCTGACCCGGGTCGCCCCCTGGGTTATGTCTGCTTTGGGTGTTAAATGATGCTGCGAATGGAAAGTCTGTGGCACGCGGTCCACCCCCCTCCCTCCCTCAGGGCATCCGGGACCAGCGGCTGAAATCCCTGAAGAACTCCACCACCCTCTACGTGGGCAACCTGTCCTTCTACACCACCGAGGAGCAAATCCATGAGCTCTTTTCCAAGTGTGGGGATGTCAAGCGCATCGTCATGGGCCTGGACAGGGTGAAGAAAACCCCTTGTGGCTTCTGCTTTGTGGAGTATCCTTGGCCTTTGGATTGAATGAACTACTTGTTATTATTATTTAAAACTTTAATGCTGCCTTTCCACCCAGTTGGGGTCCTCAAGGTGCTGAACATAGAAACATTTAAGCAGTTAAGGTACCGTTTAGAATTTAAAATTCAATCAAAAACACATAAATAAACAACACTAGAAGGAGGGCCAAAAACCATTATTGGGGTATGCCAGAGCAAACGCAAGTCTTCAGCTGCTCACAAAAGACAAGAGAGAGAGAGAAGGAGATAAATCTCCCTGGGGCGGGAGTCCCAGCGTTTTGGTGCCATGACAAAAAAGGCCCATTCCAGGTTGGCGCCTGTCCAGTCTCAGATGGCAGGGCCTCCAAGGATGATCAGAGTGAGTGGGTAGGTCCATATGGGAGAAGGCAGTCCTTAAGGCATGTGGGTCCCAGGGCCAACAGGGCTTCAAAGGTCAAAACCTGCATCTTGAATTGAGCCAGAAGCAAACTGTAAGCCAGTATAGGTGGAACAAGACTGGAGTGATATGGTCCCATGGACACACTCCAAGCAACAGTGCCAATTCAAAGTGTTGGTACTGTCCTTTAAAGCCCTAAATGGCCTGGGACCCTCATACCGACATGATCCTCCCCATCGTCTCCAGTCTTCACCTTGGCATTTATTGAAGGTCCCTGGTCCAAGAACTTTCCACCTTGTGTCAAGAAGGGTGAGGGCCTTCTCACTAGTGACTCCTGTCCCGTGGAACCAGCTGCCTGAAGAGGTGCGTGCCTTGCGGGACCTTCCTTCCCCAGTTCCACAGGGCATGCAAGGCTACTCTGTGTGTGTGTGTGGGGGGGGCGCTTTGGCTGATTGTGACCCACCAGGGCATTTGGTGTACATCAGCTGTGTCTTCAACCACAGGAGGGGTCACGGTTCAATAAGATACAACCAGAAAACTGTATCAATATGACACTGTAGACTAATGAAGACTACTTTTATTTAAAAAACACTAAGGTGTATGTATTTTTTTCTTTTCAAATTTTAACCCAAAGAATATATAAATAAATAATGTTACTTCAAAGAATCCTATGATATAGGAAAATCAATTTGTATATATAGCTTTTACAAAATTACAAAATCCAGCTGTTAACTGTATCCATACTACAGCTGAATTTAATAACTTTTTTAATGTCCTGTTTGTTAGGAGGTTTTAGGATGCTCAGCCAACTATTACAAATTGAGGATTAAGTCCATAGAGAATGGGAGCAGAATTATTCAGTGGCAAATTATATTATATTTGGATATTGTAGTTGAGATATGCATCACACTGTAAATGGAGGGGGGGAAGGCAACCGTGTACCCTGGCGGGGGGCCCCCTCCCCCTAACAGAGCATCCCTTACACCACCACCACCCATGGCGCTGGCAGCAAGAGGCCCATGAAGAGCCTTTTGCCACGTTCCTGTTTAACGCCCATGTAGGGTTAGGGTTACCCCATGCACATGGAGGGGGGTAAGGCAACCATGTAGCCTGGCGACGAGCAGGGCGCACAGAAACGTGCCCGGTGGCTCTCTTAGCTGATCCCTCCCCTGGCGGCTGGGACGACTGCTGCTTCTCCTCCTCTCTTTTCTGCACTCTCTTCCAGCAGCAGGAGGCAGGGGAGGGGAAGGGAGTGGCTTTCAAAGGGGGGGGAATGCAGGGGGGTGGCAAGTTTCCGAGCTCCAAGAGCTGCATATGGCCACCCATGAACTAGTTTGGCCACCCATGAACTAGCATGTTTAAGTAAAGATTTATTGAACTTGAATCTGGTGACTTATTCTGGCTGCATCCCTCCTGTAAAACTGGATATTGAAGTCGTTTCCTACTGACCGGGCTGAGAGACTTGCTTAGCTTCAGCATTATACTGCGCTTAGTATTCTCCAAATGGTGATAACGCTGTGAACTACTTCACTTTTTATTGGGGGTTGGGAGCCTTGGAGACCTCCAGTTTTCTTCCTGTCTTCTCTTTACCTTGGGGCCAGCCAGCATCAGCTCGTCAAATGGTCCTCTGAGTCTTTCCTTATAGTAACGCTCCAGATACTACACAAGAACGGATGCTGAGCATTCTATGCGGTTCATCAACGGAACCCGGCTGGATGACCGCGTGATCCGAACAGACTGGGATACCGGGTTCACGGAAGGACGGCAGTATGGCCGTGGGAAGACCGGTGGCCAGGTAAGGAGCATAAGGTTTGTGGGATGCTTGGAGATATTGCGCTGGGCTGGGCCTGATTTTGGTGTGGATATTTGCTGTGCCCCCCGTGCTCAGGCTGGGGCTGCCTACTAAGGTATGCCAGTGAATGTCCAGCTGGTGCAGCACATCCAGTGAGAAGGAATACCTGGGTTGGATGCTGCACCAGAAACAAGAGGGTGCAATGACATGGCTGTGAGTCCTAGTTCTTCCAGGCCAAAGAGTGAACCCTCTCCGCTGCAGAACTGTATCAGGGGAATTTAAAGTCGGCTTGTCGACAGCCTGCTGGAAAATGTTCTGTTCCTTCGGCTGGCCCCATCACTCCTTGGCAAGCAGAAGGCGAAGTCGTGGGAGCAGTGACAGACTTCACGTTCCTCGGATCCAGGATCACTGCAGACAGTGACGGCAGCCATGGAATTAAAAGACGCCTGCTCCTTGGGAGGAAAGTGATGGCAAACCTAGACAGCATAATACAAAGCAGAGACATTACCCTGCCAACAAAAGTCGTGGTCAAAGCGATGGTATTCCCAGTAGTCATGTATGGCTGGGAGAGTTGGACTATAAGGAAGGCCAAGTGCCAAATAATAGATTCTTTTGAATTATGGTGTTGGAGGAGAGCCCCTTGGGCTGCAAGGAGATCAAATCAGTCAATCCTAAAAGAAATCAACCCTTTCTGTTCCCTGGGAGGCCAGATAATGAAACTGAAGCTCAAATACTTTGGCCACCCAATGAGCAGGGAGCACTCACTGGAGAAGACCCTGATGCTGGGAAAGATTGAAGGTCAAAGAAGAAGGGGACGGCAAAGGATGAGATGGTCAGACAGTGTTATCGATGCAATGAACGTGAAATTGAGCAAATTCCGGAGGACGACGGAAGACAGGAGGGCCTGGCGTGATGTGGTCCACGGGGTTGCGACTGAACTACAACAGTTTACTAGGTGAAGTCACTTGCCTGCATGCCATGAAAAGTTTCCACCACTCATGTCTACTCATTAAACTTCTGCGAAAGGAATAGGGCACTTTTCTCCAGTTTGTTGGGAACCGTAGTTTTAAAGCAGTGTCAATTTGAGCTTGGACAAATTCATTATTAAAAATTCCAGGTTATCATCCATATCATCCTGTGGCTTTGGTGAGGTTTAAAAAACCCTTGTGACACCAACTAAGATTGATCGTTCTGGGCACGTTCCTGTACCTTCGTTGCTCTCTGTTTTTATCTCGTTTTTCTTCCTTTGTAGATTCGGGATGAATACCGGACAGACTATGATGTTGGGAGAGGTGGCTTTGGCAAGATTATTCAGATGCAGAAGTTGAATCAACAGACGGTGATCTACTAGCAGCTTCTTGGACTGAGGGCAAGAGGAAGTCTAGATTCTTCCAGGAGTGTCCCTGGACTCGGAGGGGAGGAGAGTGATGGCTTGACAGCATTCTTGGCAACCTGCAGCTCTAGCGGCCCTTGAGGACTTCTCGCTCCGGCTAATGCAGGGGAAGTCTTCCAGGGTTATGTGCTTGTCTGGCAGTCCCTGAGCCGCGGAGCTGAGGAATCCCAACGTTGTCAGAATCTCTGGCCTAGCTGGATTAGGACAGGAGATGCTGTGGAATTTGACTGGCTCTTTGCTCTCCTGGCTTTTCCAGTGTAGTGACTTTAGTGCCCTAGTTTGTCTCTGTTCTGAATCCTTCATTTTCCTCCTTTTTAAAGATTCCTAAATAAACTGCACATCCTGTATCTTCTGCTGTAGTCTGTAACCATATGGTGGGTAAAGAGAATAAAGAATGAGAGTTCTTTCAACCAAGGGAGTTGTGATCTGTGCAAGAAGGACTTTTCTTCTGCCTATCGGTATGTATTTATTTCCTGGGCCAAAAGGGAATGGCAAACTGGAGGGGGGAGGGCTGACTTTTCCCTTTTGCCCTCTGTCAGTCTTCAAGGAGTCTCCACCAAGAATCTGAAATGGTTTACCAGCCGTTTTGTTAGCCGAATTGCTTTATTTACAGCAATTGGCAATTTATAAACTGGTTCTTGTCAACTATACCAAGGTCTTGTTCCCACCAAGGGTTACCAGAGAAGGAGTCGAGGCTGGTGTTGTTAAAATAAATGTCTTTTACTTAAGAAAATAAATCTCATACAAACAATACTGATGCACTCACACATTCAATCAAGTTCCTTAGAAATACAGTTGCATTAGGTAGGGTGATGATGGGCTATACTTATCTGTCTTCGCTACTTTGGTTGTTCCAATGAAGAATAGAGGGGAAGAAATGGAAAACTAAGGAAATTCACACACAACCAGCCAGAATGTGTGGGCAGTAGAGGCAAGGGTTTGGGGATAGCAAGTGGGACTTAAGAGTAGTAAAAAGCAGACGGGTTGTTGCAGGGGAGATGCTAGTTGATCAAGTAGGAGAGAGAGAGACCATGTGACTGGTTCTCTTCTTTTATCGGAGATCCAGGAGATGGGTGTTGACGGTGCCAACCTCCTGGCCCACCTTCCTGTTAGCCCGTCCCAAAAACAATCCTATTGGTTGCCTATAGGAGTGGGAGGTTGCCTAAAGGAGTGGTCAATATTGAAATCTAATACCTTACTCAAGGAAGGACATCTGGGCAGGTGTGAAACCCTGGCGTCAGGATGCTTCCTTGAAGTGTAGATGAAGCTGGCCATCTTTGTGAAACAAATGTCCATTTGGCAGGAAATACTAAAGTAGAACAAAGCATGGCTGTATTGTACGTGATCACAACGACATCTGCAATGGGGTCTGTCTCTTCTCAAAGCTGCTGTTTCTTACTGCTCACAATAATGGAGGTGTGTGCTCCTTCACCAGGCTGTCAACTGTGTAACGGAAACCTCATTCCACATGTAAGGCTTGTGCAGGCACCTATGTGTTGCATCACAACAGGTGACTTGGAGTGTACAGTTCTCTGAGCCTGTGTTTGTGTGTGCACAGTTCATTGTGTGAAGCAATAAATATAGTTCATAAAGTAAAATATCAAGTTCATTCTCTAACAGTTTGAAGTATGCCCCAGGAGCTGCTGCCTGCCTGGTGGCCTCATCCATGCACAGGGGCTCATGTGAACAAGAGAGGACATGCACCTGATCCCCACTCAACACAATGTAAGGGGGGGGGGTGTTTTCAGCTTCAGGTGGGACACCCGGAGCGCAAGCTGAATCCCCTGATGCTGCTTTGGGCCCAGTGGAAGCCCTGTGGGTTTACTGGAGAGACATAAGCTACGCTCTTCACCCTTCCCCGTGCTTGTGGCCTCATCAGCACTGCCAAACCCTAGACTTCTTGGCTGAAGAGCCAGCCCTGTTGTTGCTGGGCGAACAGCTTTAGAGTGCCACTTTTCTGCATTCGAGCCATCCGTTGCCTGCCCATGACCCAAAAGGGGACCGAAGCCAGGGAAAGGACAGCTCCATCTCCACTGACACGGAAACATCCTGCAAGGCACTCCCAAAGGCAAAGGCTGGTACAAAACAGGAATGGAGACGCATTCGAGACTCCTACTGGCAGAGAAGAATCGGTGAATGGCGTGGCTCCAGAAAAAGGGGAGAGGGCAGTGACTCCAGAGCGAAAGGATGCAGTTGAGTGTGTCCCAGAGTAGGAATTCCAAGTGACACCTTCCGGGTCTCATTTGAAAAGAAACTGGGCATTTCTAAAAACATTTATTTCTTTATTTCCCTGAATTCTGTCACATTTTTTAAAAAATCCCCCAATGTTCAGGAGCAATATCAACTGCAGCAACATGGTCTGGATATTTCAAGCTGTCAAAAAAAATCTTTAAAACTAGGATAATTCTTCCTCCCTCTATGGAAATAATTTGACAGTGAAGCTCTGAATTGTCCGCCTTCCTAGGTGTGACCCTGGGGTCATTTCATGACCACTGGAAATGGCTCCTTGTGGAACCATCAGGGTGCTGGAATGGTTCAAGTTTTCCCAGTGTATTGTTGTTGATTTTTGCTTCTTTTTATTTCTGGAATATGAACTGGTCGATGAATTCATTCTGGTCCACTTCTGTTTTGCAAAGTGTTTCGTATTCCACACGAAACCTGTGGGGGGGACGGGACATGACAGCAGGCTGCATTGACAGCGACTCTGAGCAGGGGAGACGAATAACTGCAGAGGGAACTCGTTGTTTATTTCAGGCATACTAATGGATGTAAAAGGAGATTAGACAACATCCAAGGAGGAGAAGCCCATCAGTCGCTATCAGCTGTGGTGCCCAAGAGGAGCTGCTCCGTGTGGAGGCAGCAGAGCCCTTGGCGGAGGGCAGCAGCAAGGGCAGGCTTTCGGCCTTGGCTCCTCCGCTTGGAGGTGGATACCGGTTATGACGGAGCTTGGAAGCAGCTTTGGACTCTTGAACCACTGCCGTGATTCTCCGTCTGCTTCCTCAGAGTTGGACAGGGCACGGAAGGCTGGCTGCAACTTGGGAGCCACTCCTTGGCCAGGCAAAGAATCTGGCTGTTAGCTCACCCGGTACGCCAGAACTGGGGGGGGGGGGTAGGAGTTGAGTAGGACTGCACAGGGGGGACTTATCAAAAATGAGCTTGAGGACTTCTTCCACCCGACCCTCAGGCCCCTCCTCACCTTTCCAGTTGGGTTGTCTTCTCAGCTATCAGAGCCTGAAGCTGCTGCTGCTGAGCCTCTCTCTGCTTTGTGATCGATTTCAGCAAGTTTCGGGCCCCTATTGCCTGTGGGAAAAGGGGGGGGGGGTCCTTAGGTTCAACATGTTTGGTTTTGTAGCAATTGTCCCAAGGGAGTAACAATATAATTAGGAGTATTACTAAATTAACGAGACAATCCTATGACCTTCAAATCTGCATATATTTTCACGGTTGTGGAAAAGAGCATTTTTTTAAAGATAATGCATGCATCAGAGAAGGCATCATTTCAGAAGAGGCATATTCCCTGCTGAGTCTGAGAGGAGAGGGACCTGCCTCCTAAGAAAGTGAAGTCATTCTATTTTGCATTTGGGAGAAGGAGGAACACCCATAATCGCTTTAGATTTATTTATTCATTGACTCCATGTCTTTTTTTAACAAGCCACCAACCGAAACAATGCAATCAAAAAGATTTTTGTACATCATGTACATTAAAAATTGCATGGTAAGGGTAAGAATGTTGGACTAGAACCTGGATTCAAGTCTCCATATTGGTCAGGAATCTTGCTAGCTGAACTTGTGCCAGTCACACACAGTCAATCTAATCTATCTCGCAGGAAACAGGGTCCAGCCGGGGGGGGGGGCACCTTTAAGATCAACAAAGGGTTACTCAAGGTATGAGCTTTGGTGTGCAGGCACACTTTTTCAAATACATTGGAATGGAAGGTAAGAATTCAAACATATAGACAGAGGCTGAACAGCAAATTAACATGTCACACGATGAAGATGTTTTAAGATATATGAAGACAAAACTAAATAACAAGCTAAGGTTGATTTGATTTAGTGACGTGGAGGGAAAACAGTAAAGCGCTAAATATGTTAAAATAGGAGATAAATGTGTAAAGGTATCTTTTCTAATTGTGGGAAATAAACTGAGACTCTCCATTTGTCTCCTCTCAGGCATGGAGGTAACTTAACAAAATGCTGTTAAGTCTACGCACACGAAAGTTCATACCTTGAATAAACCTTTGTTGGTCTTAAAGGTGCCACTGGACTCTAAATTTGTTCTACTGCTTCACACCGACACGGCTGACCACCTGGAACTACCTCACAGGGTTGTGGGGATAAAAGGGAAGGGTGAATCGCTCTGAATTCCTTTGGGATAAAAATTCAGTCAATAAGACAAATAACTGGTGATTAAATCTACTGCCCAGTTATATGGGGAACCTTTTAATCTGTTAACAGATGCTTAACTGAGGAACCAACTCTGCATTGTAGCCTTACAAATTCTTGAAGTCTCTTATATCTGCCTCTTGCTGACATGGTGCAAGAGGATTCCAGGGCCAATGTTCAGCTTAGCTCTAGCAGCAGGCCAGGCTCCTGGGAACCCCCTGTTTTCCTGGGAAAAGGCAAACTGGGGTGTTGACACTCAGGGCTAGTTACCTTAATCTTCTCATTTTCCGCTGCTTTTGCTTGTTGATCAACCAGCTCAATGAAGCTACCCACAGTTTTTTTAAATTCTGCGATTTCTGTAAAAGAGGCAGAAAACGATATTTATATTCTGTGCAGCTGAGTTTATTAGGACGGGGCCTCAGGCAGAGAAAGGCCTTTCCCCATCTCCACTGCCCGCGATCCATCCCCTGACGACGCCTGGGATCAGCCTCCTGCTCTCACTGTCCCCGGCATGCCAAGCAGGTGCTCCACCACAGAGCCACAGCTCCTTCCCAGGAACCGCTGATGGGTTCATAACAAAACACCAGCCTCGTTTGGAGAGACCACCAGTCCCACCAGGCCAGTATCACACAACAGCCAGACAGATGGCCCTGCAGAATCCCTCAAGCCAGACATAGAGGCAGCAGTCTACCCGCCCCTTCCCACTACATTGGTAGACCTGGCCTCTGGAGAACAGGTCTACCCACCCCTTCCCACTATATTGTGGAGGACAAACTTCTTCTGGACAGTGATGGTAAACTTCCTCTAGATGTGGAGGTTCTACTGAGCTGTGACGCCGCAAAAGAGGGAGGCTCTGGCTTCCGTGCCTCCATCGGGACCTCCCGGCAGGCACCTGATTGATGCCGGATTACACAGACGGCTCCCGTGATCCAGTATGGCTGCTCTTACAGTCACAAAGCATGAAGGACACTGGCTGAGGGAGAGAACTTACTGTCCACGAACGCTTTGCATTCTTCTTTCAGCTCGGCTGTTTGCTGAGACACCTCTGGGTCCAAAACCCTCAGTTTATTCAGCTCATCAAAATGGAGACCGGCTTCCCCCAGAATGCCTTTGGACATAGTGGACACCTTTCAGACGCCTGTGCAAAAGCGTGAGATATAAAAAAGATCAAAACATAACCTGGAAGGACACAGCGAAGGCAGCGCTCTGTCCTAGTGCTCCATGGGAAAATATTCAGTTCATTTAGGGGCATCCACAGTAACAGTTTGGGGTTTTTTTCCAACGTTTTATTGCCATGCGTTTTTCAGGGACCTCATGGTGGCTGTAGATGGCTCCCCCTCCCCGTTTTATCTTGACAGCTCCGTGAGGGAGCCAGCCTAGGCGGGGAGAGAATAACTGCATCAGAGCCATCCTTGGTGGAGGGGGGGGGGATCTTAACCTGGGTTTGAAAACCTCATAAACTGGCTGAGATGTGGCAGCAAAACCCCCCAAACCCTCTAGCGGCAAAGCCAGACCGGAGCCCCGGCCGTGACCCCGGAGGCTCCCTTCGCGGGCCGCTTCCCCGCTGTGCCTCCAGAGGGACCTGGCGGGTTCTTCCCACCCCCTGCGCGGCGGAGGAGGAGGAGGAGGAAGAAGCGGGCCCGACCCCCCCCCCCGGGACTC